TGAATTGGGCTGCAATAAACATTCTGGTACAAATATCTTTGTGATAATGTGATTTTTGGTCTTCTGGATATATACCTAGTACAAGGTGTTTCTTTTTAGGAGTATCCTACACAGTCGTGTCATGGTGGCATGGTTCACGCATGCTCTAAAATAGTATAAATAGTGTTTCATTAGGAAACAAGCCCTCAAGCAGCTGTACCTGTAAGCACAAAACCAAACACCTTTGCTGTGTATCTTCCTTCACTGAGAAAAAATTAGCCTTGCTTTATCTTTATGTGTGTTCACAAATGCACACACACTCTCAGAGAGAAAGAGGGAAAATGCAGTGAGAGACAATTGAGAGACAATGAGAGACAATTTAGGTTAGTAGTTCTGAGCACAAACTCTGGAACTGGACTGGACACACTTGAATCCTGCCTGTTGCTCACTAGCTCTGTACCTTAACCAAGTAACTTAACCTCTTTGTTTCATATGTATAATGAGGATAACAACAGTGCCTACTCTATAGCATGAAAATTACATTAAAAATGCATAACATACTTAGGACAGCACCTCTAACACTAATAGGGCACCTGGTTAGCGGTATTTAATTGTTTGACACAGTTTTATAACAAGTATCTGTCTTGAGCATGTGCATAATTTTAGGCACTGTGCATAATTTTAGGCACTGCTGGATGGGAAGCATGTTAGTTGTTAAGGAGAGTGAGGAAAAGAGAGTGGTAATGACTCACTGGGCAGGGCAAAGGCGCACTCACACTCCTGACAATGTTCTAATAGGGAGTGTAAGTAAATATGCTAAACACTGGGGAATCTTAACTGAGATTTTTAATCTAACACTAGCATAGACGCTAGATGGAGATTTCGAAAGTAGAAAAATGGGTTGGTTAATGTCTATAGCCAGTTTTCATGTGTTTTGTTCTTGTTTTTTATACTCCTGCATTGAAAATGCAAATAACTGGACCCTTCAGAAGCTGGAAGAGCCTACAGGACGAGGCAGTGGTCTGATTGTCTTTAATCCTTTCCACATTCAACAGGTAAGTAATTCTTTCCTCCAAGGGGTTAGTCATTAAATAAGAATTACTAGATACTCCTAGGTGCCCCGCACAAGATCCAAGAAGTGCAAAATCCATCTAAGTTCTCCCAGTTCCTCTTCTGCTTGTTAATCATTAATAGATCTACTTGGGAGAGGAGACTTACATCAAACAACTAGAAACCAAATGCACGAGCACGCGAGCTGACCACTAGCGCAGAACCAGTAGGGACAGTCCTCTGCTCTTGCCAGTTACACGTGGATGATAGATAAGTTCTGCGTGACAGCGGAACTCTGGACCCTTGAAGTCACATTTGATTGAAG